AACATCAAAGTAATATACTGGTGTCAAAAAGGTGCAGTTACAATCATATGCATGTATGTTTATCCCCGATTATCATGAAACTTTGATCCTGACGACAATACTTGGGAATATACAAGATTCCCCATGATAATTGTCAATGTTTTTTTGTCAACTAATTAATTTACGTTTTGGATATTGGATGTTTACCCTTGCCTTCTACTTGTTTTAAAGGTGATCATATCAGGATGTACCGTAAAAAAACACGGATATTTCTTAATCTTATTTTTATTTTGAATAAAAGTAAAAAGAAACAGAAATCAATAAAACATAAATTAAACTTTTCCTTATGTAATCTGCACAATTGTTAGTTGTCAATATCAGAGAAATAAATCCCTGAAGCGGAAAAAATAATATAAAAATTTCCCTATGTGGCCGATATTTTATTACTATTGCTCAGTATAGTTATTAGTGAGTAGTAATGATTAACCAATGGACTCCTGATTAAATGATTACATTAATTACCGTATCCAGGTGTACATCTATAAATAACAACAAACACATGATGTCATTGTTTGTAAATATTGATCTATTTGTGTTTTGAATAGGCTGTCTTGCTTTAACATTTACTCATACTTTTTCATTGTAAATAATTGATTAGTATAAGATTTTGAAATCTTCTGAAGTCATTTAGAGGAAGGTAGATGGGCAAAAATTAACGCCCTGATTTGTCATCATTAGATAAAACCAATACAATGATTTTTGACAAGGATTCAAAGTTTTCAGTTCTTTCTGTTAACTTCATTGTCCTGTATGAGTAAATTATTTGCTTTTCTCTGACTGTTAATGAATAAAGAGGTAAATGGGGAAACAAGCGTAATTAATCTACAGTTTTGCAGCTAGGAGGGAAAAAAAGCACTATTTATATAATGGTCTTTATAATAAAAATTGGTACTAGTGCATACTGGTTTGAATTGATTGAATTTACTTAAACAGTGAGCTTGACCAAAGAACTTGAATTTAAAAAAAACTACAACTTGTTTTAGAAATACAAGAATGTTTTTATTTTATCAAAACCACAAATTTTGGTGGATCAAGTTGACTTGAAAGTGATAGTTAAATATTCATATCTCATTGATATTTTCTCATACTGATATGCATGTAACATTTGCCATTGGACATGAAACACAAATTCATCATCTGAAAATTCATGATAAGCAAAATGACATTGGACATTTATCAATAATGCATAATGGACAACTTACTGACCATAACATTATGTTTTAATACCTAAGGTGTGAGGACAATGATGGAGTATTTATTTCCTTGTTTTTATTGTCTGTTTTATTTTCCCATTTATTACTGTCGTCTGCCTTTCAAGCTTGTAATCTCATTACACTAATGTCTTCTTCTGTCTGTCAGCTCATTGCTATGGTTGTTTTAGCTTACATGAAAAGAAAAAAATGTCTTATTCAAAAACTGTACACAATGCAACATGTTACATAGTACACATTTTCATCTTGCAGCTTAATATTTACCTACTGTTCAGCTAACCTTTATATCATATTGGTTGAAAATAGAGTGTGGAAATCTATTTCTCTTTTTTCACTCTGCTAACCCTTGCAGGGTACCTGAGATCACTCCCAGTTTTTGTTGAGGTTCAGGTTGATCAGTCTATTTTTTATGTCGTTGATTGTCTTTTGCCTTTTTTCTTTTATTTGTTGTGCCATGATAAAGTGAGTCTCTCTTTGACTTGTGAGTTTTTATTCTCCCTTTTGTATCTTCCCCAACTTTTTTATTGACATCCTGAAGATGCATGTAATATTTGCCACTGGATATTGAGCAGCCATCATATAAAATCAAACCAACTTTTTAGAATGTTGTCAAAATTACAGTTATGATTTTACTTTCACTAGTTTCAAAATACCAAATGGATTGACCAAATCATTGATCTGGAAACAGATTTTTGTAAATCCCTGAAAAGAATTAAAAAGGTATCTTCATTTTGTTTTAGAAATGTAAGCAATAATCATTTCCTTCAATATGTGACCTAATTGTTATGGGTTAAAATATATATAAGAATATCAATCATGTGGTTTGGTTAAAACTGGTTTGTCTGTTATTCTTTGAGATTTGATATGCTTGTGAGTCAATATTTAAAAGTGAAGTGGTTTTTAAACCAAAATTGCTATTTTAAGGATTTAAAAATACTTATTCTCACCTATTTCTGAAAATTAAAGTTCTGTCTATTGACACCATTTTCACTTTGAGAGAGACTTCCTTGAGACTTTTTATTTCCCTGAAGTCCCTTAGTATTGGGTTTATTAGTACAATAAAGTATTTAGCAACAAATAAATGTGAACAGTTAGTTACATGTTACATATTTACATGTATCAAGATAATGGGAACATACAGATAAACTATTAACTTGTATATTATACATCAGGTAAATTATACTCAAGTATTTGTCAGATTTCTTTACCCAATTAAAGTCTATAATTTGTCTAAATCACCTAGCATCTGTATTCTGAGCAAAATCTAGCAAAGCTTTCAACTCAAACAGGTTCTAGGGACCATCTTGAACTTGCAGTGAGATGTTAGCTTTTGGTCTGATTTTTAGGCCTCACTGTTACTTTGAGATAAAGATCAGCAAGAAAAGTGTAGTTCTTTGGTTTCAGTTTTGTCATGTGCATGCAGAAAGTTTGGTTATTAATACACCATATCCCCTTTTTGCAATGTATATATTGCAAATCAAAAATTTGTTAGCATATGCAATAAATTAATTTAGAACTGTGTTAAATGTTCTTTTAACAATTTTACAAAATTTTGTTTGACCAATAAGCTTATAAGTATCAGAAGAATACAAGTCATTTCTTGGAAAAAGATAATACTAAGAGTTATACATTGTATATAAAGTGCTGGGCAAAAGTGTTTCCTTTCACTTTTGCCTTTAAAGCTGTCTGTATTGAAAAGAAATATTCCAGCAACATTGAAACAACTCTCAAATGAGTTATAGATTTATCAACACTAGTGAATATTAAAAATTGGGGGGCATTTAACCACAAAATATGCTAATTTTGTTTTGTCTTGGATAAAAAATATACATGAATGAAATAAATTGATCTAACATAACAGGTATTAAAGATTTGACAAAAAACACTTCTAAAAGGAAATATTTTTTTCAATTTAACAAAGAGAAGATTCAAAGTATACCATTAAATCATTTACGTCATTTGTCTAATTTAATCGTCCATTTTGCACATATCATATGATTAGATTAGAATAGTCGAAGTCCATGTCAAGAGTTTTGGTGATTAGATATATTTCCCTTCATCTCTGTAACTTCTGATCTTTGCTGAGTTAACCAATTGAATCATTGACGACAATCTGTGCCTTTTGTCTTTTGTGAATATCAGACATATTTTGGAAGTTTAAATTTCTAAGAGAAATTGTTTTTTTCCTTTGGATTTGTCGATAAAAGGATAATTTGGATCAAAATGAGATTATGACCTCACTTAGAAAGTTGAAGTTCATGAAATGGTTTCCTTGACATAAAGAGGAAGTTCAAAAAGGGAAATGTTTAAAAAAAAATTACTAAAAAAAAGTGCAACTTTGCGGTTGGTAACAGTAAGGCAAGTCAGGACGACAAACATATCAAAGTAAGTCATTGGAAAATAAGGTCAGATATTCTTTTTATGTGACAGTATGGTTCACTTGCAGCTCTGTAATTATCAAATCATCTCAGAAAAACTTTTAAAATATAACTTCCTTATAATTACAATAAATCTCCATTTTCTACTACTGTAAGACAGTTGCATTTTTTGACATGTCATAATGAAAAAATTATGTAGGGGAGTTAGATAAAAGTCTGCCAAGCCCCCTTCAAAAGCATGTAAAAGTCTCTTTAGTTCTATGGCTGTTGTTTTGTTCCATTGAATTCTGTTTAGTTTTGAGCCATTACATAAGCTTTTAAAATCTATTTTAAGTAACATTATTGGTAACCTAGTTGGAATTACTTGAAAATGTCTGAGTTTGTGTTGACTTAAGAGTGAGTGACAGAGTTGAAAAGATCCTTGTCCATTGGTCTCTGATGTACAGTTGTCTCACTGGCAATCCTATACCTCTTCTCCTTATTTTAATACTTTTTTTGAGTTTTGCAGTTGGTTGGTATGTTGTCAGCATGCTGATTAGTGAATACTGTAAATTCAGAAATTATTGAGTGCATTTATTATTGCGATTTTTCAAGAATGGACAAAAATGCGAGTTTAATTATTGCACATACACAATTAAGGGGAATATGTTTTCAGTTCCAGTTTATCATGTAAATTACTTAAAACATGAGTAGAAAACATGAATTGTTCATCAAATGTGTGTATCTGCCTTATCAGAGAACTATAGGAGTAGCATAACAGAAAATTGTTAGTGGAACCACAATTGATATCAAATCATGCCATACATTGATATAGGTCAAATATGGGAGTTAATTCAGTTCATCAAAGAAAACAAAACAAACAAAATCTCCATTTATTTGGAACCTACTTCTTTAAAGTTTTCAAAGAATATTTCTAAATATTCAAAGGATGTAATTCTTAAACTTAACATTGTTGTGCTTCCAATTGTAAATTTTAATTGAAGGGTATTTTAGGTAAATGTCAATGAGACAGCAAAAAAAAACAACATCTAGTTGGTTCAACATAGGATTTTCAGTGTTAAAAATGTGTTGATAACATATGTCAAGTTTATATCAGTGCAGTTCTAAGCAATTTGTGAATGAGTTCAGTAGAGACTACCAAGACTTGTTCATCTATACCAAGTTAACATCAAGAAACAGTGGCAAACTCTGAAGAGGTTCTTGATTTGGGACTGGCACACATATGAAGCATCCCAAGACTTTTTTGTCTTGGTGAAGGAGCATACTTATCACCACACCTTTTTATAGTATTTATTAATGATTTATTGGCAAAGTTTAAAGTAAATGATAAAACTATAAAATGTACTTATAACTTGATATTGATCTTTTACAGTGATTATGCTCCTAGAACTGTAGTATTACAAAGAGGACCAGAGGGCTATGGCTTTATTCTCAGAGGAGCTAAATGTAAGTACTTTAAAGCTTGGTTCACCTTGCAGAGTGAGTTCAAGCTCTTAATATGCTTAAATATCACATTGTATGAAGGAAAGTGGAATAAAAAAAGTGGCATCATGAAGAACAAAATATCTTATTGAGACTTGAAGGCACATTTTGTCATACATGCTTGAAATAAGAAAAACAACCTCTCAGTTGGAGAACATGTCAAATAAGCAAATATGTTTCACAAAAATAACTGTTTGCCATATTTTGCAATTTCTGGGAGATCTTATTTGCATCAAACTTTTGCGTTATTATGCAAGTAAATGAAAATGAACAAGACAATACATTGAATAAATTATACTTTAATAAACAGGTAAACAAATATATAACAATGAAATGAAGTGCCTGATAAATTGCAGACATTCGGTAATTAGTGAGATCATCTTCACATTCCATGAAAAATTATATCCTGTCTGAAAAGGATGTCTTTGTCAGGTGTGGCCAGCTTAAACACAGTTCAGTCCTCTCATATTCCGTAATTTGAATGCATAAAATTTAACTTAATTATTTTTGTTCAGTAATTTAAGTACATGTATTGAAAATCCCAAAGCATGCATATGATACATGTTTTGTTGTCATTGAGATACATTATTTACACTAAAGGACAATAATTGATGATCTTGACACTGTTTGTGAGCTGAAATGTATAAGTCAGTGCAAAATCATCAGTTCAAACTTTACACTTTGATATAAATTGAGATAAAAAGTTTTTTTATTCATATAAACAGTTCACACATATATGTATGTTGAAGTTTCATTGCTTTAAAGGTTTTTTCTATGCAGAACTTTTGGAGCCATGTCAATTATTACTAAATTTATACAATTTATTATGTAAATGAGACAGCAAGCCAAATACACAATGGAATTCTATATGCAAAAATGTAGTAAAGGTATTTTATACTTTTTCTGACTAATTATAGTTAATTTTTTTATAATCAGCTCATGGTTCACATATGTTTATCTCTAAATAAATTGGTCAAAGTTCATATTGTCTTATTTCCTTGTAGTTCTCGGTTTTTTCAACATTAAGGCACATAAAAAAGACGGGAAAGAACTATTTTCATGCAAAATGTTTTCCAGTGTTGTCTTAAATGGGTTTTCATGTTAAATTGCCATTTTTCTCAGAGTTTATTAAAAAAACAACCAAAGAACTGCTCCATTCATGGATAAAAAAATTATAATGAAATACACCTTTCTTTTCAATTTCCTCCATGCACATACTTACCCTCCACTGTAACCCTCTTTAAACAGGTGAACATGACTGATGAAGTGACATAAAAAGAGCACATCTTTTTGGCAATTCATCTGAAAAGAAGGTCAAAATCAGCCTACTCATGGTCTACGAATTTGTTTAAGAAAATGATTGCACCACTGCATCTTTTGTTATATGACTTATGTCCATCCTACACAGTTAAATTTTCAAATTTTAACACAGTCTGGAGTGGAGAAATATTGTATCACACAAAATTCTGTGAGGAAATTAAATTCTTCATGTCAATTTTCTGTTTCTATCATCAAGTGTATAAAAAGGCCTAACAGAATTGGGTCAAAAATGCAAGAATTCATGAATGAACATAAAAATACTGTGTTTCACACAATAGAAGTATTATATTAGCCTAGTTTACACCCCTCCTCAATATTCTTTTATTTTTTTGAATGGTTTTGGTTTTATTGACTGTATGTCACCACACTCTGTATGTAATTCATTACACTTACCCTAAATAATGATATACCCTACCATGTTCTTTCAACCTCATAACAATATACTTTTGTAGGTAGTGAAAAAAAGAAATTTTTTATTATGTAAAAACACCTCCATATAGAGACAAAAATTGTTTTTCAATTTACAATGAGGCTGTTGATCTTTTGAATTTTCTAAGTGACTAAGTGCTTATAAGTCAAACACAACATTCTTGATTCTTAAAAATAGTTGATACGCAATCTTGCAAGTAGACAGTCATCCATTTTGTAATCCTCCATCTGACAACTTGCATTAAACTTATCATATATGACATTGATACTGATCTGTACACTATATATATATATATATGATATGTACAATTTGATAACATTTGAGGACCTAACACCAAAATCCTAAGAAATATAATCAGCCCTTGTTAATTTTACTCAATGCATCAGAGAAACCTGATCTTGTTCACTTTGTTTTGGACAGATTTTATTGCCCTGTTTACCTTACAATCTTTGTTCGGGTGGAATTTTAAGCCTGTTTCACTAAAACTTTACACCCTTGCCAATAAAAATAAAAATGTATTTACTTAATGTGGGTCTTGTCAAGTGAAAAATTGGATTTGTTAGAATATATCTGATACATGATCTGTACAATGTGTTATCAAATTGTCTTCTTATTTGAAATGTAAAGAATCAGTCTTGTTGATATACACTAAAAACTTAACACTAGAATTCCTGTAACAAGATATCAAATGCCTCGCTAAATTGCATTGTAATGTATGGATTACAATGGTACATGTATTTACTTTATATTAAAAGTTTCAAAAACATTGCTTTTCATGAAGTCCTGCAATTTAATCCTATAATTAAGAGTACTTCAATGCTGTCAGATCTGGGTATATGTTTAATCATGGAAGTATTATTTTGTCTATGTTACTTCCATGGTCTAATTATGTATGTTCCATGTTGCCTCGAGGTTAAACAGAGGTCGATTAAGCAAATAGTTATGTGGTGATTATTTAAATCATGTGGTAAAAAATTTTCTAATCTCTTTTTAAATGTTGTTTCAATTGACTTTTTGAAGTGATAAATGTGGATTTAAAGGTGTGATTGAAATGTGATATGCTGCCTTTACCTTGGTTAAACGTTGGACCGAATTCAGCATCTTTTTATTCAGTTACCTTTTTTTGAAAAATAATGCTGAATTTGTCCAGATTCTATGCATAAAAGCTTAATGTATAATAAAGATTCTGACGAAATCTAGAACAACAACATAAGGGTAAAGTTTTGCTACTATAAGATAAATACCACGTTGATCCTTCATAAACAGTTTGGCATGAAAGAGTATTTAATGAATGAATTTGTGCTTAAATATTTGTAGGTTAAAAACAAAGTACATGTAATTCGTTTTTGATTTCATCTCTTAACCCAGTCACATAGACATCTGCGTTAAAAAGTTTTTCTACTGTAAATTTGTTAGTGGAAACATCTTGGTTTTGTAGTTAAAAGATCATTGTGAAGTTTAGACCTAAAATAAACAAAACACTTTAAGTAGAAAGAAAATAGATTGAGATCTTTTTAAAATCTTCACAATATGAGAGAGTCATTTTAAGGCAAGAATTCCTGTGATCAAATGGGGTGTAAAATTACTTTCAGACAAAAAAAAAAAATCACTTGACCTCATTATTTTGAGTGTTTTATAATGTATCAGGACAGCTGTGTTCATTTTTTAAATGAAAAATTCATGATTTTAAACTCTAGCTAAAAAACAATTTCCTTTTGATCTAATTGTATGCGGCAACACACTTTAAAATATTTGAGGGATTAACAACAAGAAAAATTTGATTGTTGCTTTATTGTTATGCTAACTTAGATAGTTTCTAAAGATGGGGTTTTCAGTGAGGAACTTGTTACTTACATATTTGGTCATTGAACTGGCTATGTTCAGGAATCCAAAAATAAAAATTGAACTTATTCAAGGGGTTGATATCCTCTGCTAAAGACTTCGTTTATTGTTAAGAGTATAAACATAAAAGAGAAAAAGTATATTAAGTTATTTGATCTTTGCTTTATTGTATATTCAAGGTTTATGTGGCTGCTAAACTTTATTTTCATTGTTCATATGGGTTTATTCATGACCAAAGTCCAAAGAGATGTTTTCTCAATGATGGCCCATAAAGCCTTTTGTTACAAGTTGACAGCCCTATATGAACATTACATTATTTTCCACAAAGATGATAACTTAAATAAAGGAGATTTGTAGTAAACATGATTGAGAAAGCAACCACACTACAAACGCTCAAAAAAAATTAGTGCTGTTCCTTTACTGATTTTTTTTAATGTTCTTTTATTTACTGTTTGTAGTCCAATGGTCAAAGTTTTTAAAAAAGGGGAGGGTTCAGTCTCAAAAAACTAGTTTTATCGATCAAGATGTTAATGTATCTGTCCCAAGTCAGTGTTTTAGACTTGAGGGCAGGTCTTTGAAAGTTTCTGCTTAATTCATTCACAACTTTGTTTAGACTTTGGTTAGTTAATTGTGTTGGTTACTGTATCATTGACATCTTTCCTATGTCTCCTTTTATTCATTATCTTTTAAGTAGGATTCTGTAGACTCCAACCTGTTTTCTTTTCTTTTTTTTCTTTTTTTTTAAATTGCTAAGGGGAGAATTGTTATGTCTGACTGTAACTTTTCCAAATTTCTATCATATATTTTCTTTTTCTTCTAACCCTTTCTGCAATCTATTTTTCAGAATATTTAGTATTTTGTAACTAGTGCTCTATTTAAAAGGGACTTAAGTACTTATTTTTGTTTGTCAGCACAGTTACTTGTCATCATTGTTTTATACAGCAAGACAATAAATTACAATTTAACTACCTTCTTTAAAATATTTATATTAGAATTGAACACACCTTGTTTATTTTACCACTTTATACATATAAACCTAATGGCTGTTTGTTTAAAATCTGTCCAGTCATTATATTAAATTGTCCAGACCAAGTAGGAGTCAGGGTGGTATACTGAGACAGTATTTGAAAGTGTCATAAGACACTTGGTTTACCTAGTAACACCTGTCTTTCATCCTCAAAGTGTTTATACATTTGGTTAACTAACATAAAAAGTATTCAACATATATGGCTATCCTTTATACTAATAGTTTAAGTAAATTGTCCATTTACATGTAGCAGTTACGTCAGTGTCCAATAATCCAGCAGATTTAAAACTTATGTCCATATATTGATCTTTTTTTATTTGATGGGTCATCATAGCAAACTAACTTGCAGATAATACATTCATTGAGCATTGTCAACATCAGTGTTTTCCTAGAGGGTTTTACGCATATTAGGGCCCCCATGCAGTGATTTGGACCCCATCCTTATAAAATTGAAGATCCCTTTTACTCTAACTGCATGACCACCATCCTTTCTATGAAAAAAATGCAAGGGAAAACTATGACTTGGTCACTCACACATTACTGATAGTCACTGTCCATATATCAATTCATAAGTTCAGTTGCCACACATCTTGATATAACTAAATTGTAACTTGTTGCATCGAAATTTTAAAGGGCAATTGGTTATTAAGCTGTGCAATTTTTTGTCCAACCTTTGAACTTTGACACTATTTACCATTTCAAAGTGTAGTATATTATCAATCAAATAGACAGAAATGTTCATGATGTGACCCCCTCTGAGTTGACCATCACTTGTAACCTACAAATTCACAATATTCATATTTAAGGGATACAAAAAATACAACTGTCAATCAGCTGATTGATGTCCTACCCCTTTTATTTTAGTTTGATCATACATATATTTTAGATCTTTAGTGACCTAACCTGGCTGAGCAGGTCAGCTGAATATGTCATTGATAAGGCGTGTCAGTCCCTATTTTACTTACATTGCATTGTATTACATAACATGTACTCACATGGTTTACAGTACATTTACTGTGATTGAAATGTCACAGAAATTTATGTATATACTTAGCATAACTGTTTGAACTTTATCATTTTTCTTTTCATACTATAAATATTTTGCTTTCAAATTCCTTATATGATATGTTTATGAAAAAATAACAAAGCTCCATTATGGGTATTCTACTCTGATATGAGGCCTATACAGGATTCTTTTGATTAAAAAGGATATTTCAGAGTCACTTATTTTGACAAATTGGTTGGCATTGCAAAATGTGTATAGGTATTCACTTCATATAGATATTTCATAATTTACATTTTACATCAACAATGATCTATAGATTAGTCTCCTGTTTGGACCCTTATATCTTAATTACCTTTTAGCACAAGAAATTGATTTGTAAAATACAATTTTATTACAAATGTTTTATTATAAGTAAACTTTTCATTTGCAAATTAGAATTCCTAGTTTCAACCGATATTTGACCCTCTGAAATTGATATTCATTCATCTTAACTGTCAAAGAAATGATATATGTCTTAAAATTTAAAATATTTTTTTTTAAAGAATATTTAAAAGTGTTTAATGCTTAAAATAAGTTCTTTGACTCTCTCTATTCAAATGAAATGTAGAATCGGATTAAAAAGCTTTTATTTAATCATTTTTGACTCAATAGAACACATTTTTCTCTGAATGGGACAAACAGCATGAATGATGGACAGTGTTTTGTCTTCTTTGAATTTTAATCTTCCCTGTATATTTTTAATTTTTGCTTACTCTTGACTTGTATAAACTAAACCATGATGAAATATAAGAAACTAAAAAGAACAAGTTTTAACAACTTGTTTGTTTTTTGTCGAGCCTGCGACTTTTGTCGCAGAAAGCTCGACATAGGGATAGTGATCCGGCGGCGGCGGCGGCGTTAGCTAACTTCTTAAAAGCTTTATATTTTAGAAGGTCGAAGGTCTGGATGCTTCATACTTTGTATATGGATGCCTCATGTTACGAAGTTTCCGTCAGTCACATGTCCAATGTCCTTGACCTCATCTTCATGGTTCAATGACTACTTGAAAAAAAAGTTAAGATTTTTTGTAATGTTAGATTCTCTCTTATTATAAGTAATAGGATAACTATATTTGGTATGTGCGTACCTTGCAAGGTCCTCATGCCCGTCAGACAGTTTTCACTTGACCTCGACCTCATTTCATGGATCAGTGAACAAGGTTAAGTGTTGGTGGTTAAGTCCATATCTCAGATACTATAAGCAATAGGTCTAGTATATTCGGTGTATGGAAGGACGGTAAGGTGTACATGTCCAACTGGCAAGTGTCATCTGACCTTGACCTCATTTTCATGGTTCAATGGTTATAGTTAAGTTTTTGTGTTTTGGTCTGGTTTTCTTATACTGTATGCCATAGGTCTACTATATTTGGTGTATGGAATGATTGTAAGGTGTACATGTCTAGCGGGCAGGTGTCATCTGACCTTGACCTCATTTTCATGGTTCAGTGGTCAAAGTTAAGTTTTTGAGTTTTGGTCTTTTTTTCTAATACTATATGCAATAGTTCAACTATATTTGGTATGTGCGTACCTTGCAAGGTCCTCATGCCCGTCAGACAGTTTTCACTTGACCTCGACCTCATTTCATGGATCAATGAACAAGGTTAAGTTTTGGTGGTCAAGTCCATATCTCAGATACTATAAACAATAGGTCTAGTATATTCGGTGTATGGAAGGACTGTAAGGTGTACATGTCCAACTGGCAGGTGTCATCTGACCTTGACCTCATTTTCATGGTTCAGTGGTTATAGTTATTTTTTGGTGTTTTGGTCTGTTTTTCTTATACTGTATGCCATAGGTCTACTATATTTGGTGTATGGAATGATTGTAAGGTGTACATGTCTAGCGGGCAGGTATCATCTGACCTTGACCTCATTTTCATGGTTCAGTGGTCAAAGTTAAGTTTTTTGAGTTTTGGTCTTTTTTTCTAATACTATATGCAATAGTTCAACTATATTTGGTGTATGGAAATATTTTATGATCTATTTGGCAGTCACACAGGTTTTATTTGACCTTGACCTCATTTTCAAGGTTCATTGCTCAGTGTTAAGTTTTTGTGTTTTGGTCTGTTTTTCTTAAACTATAAGCAATAGGTCAACTATATTTGTTGTATGGAAGAATTGTTAGCTGTACATGCCTGCCTAGCATGGTTCATCTGACCTTGACCTCATTTTCATGGTTCATTGGTCAATGTTTAGTTTACTTGGTTAATGTTAAGTTTATGTGACAGTTGTAATAAAGCTTTATATTTAGGACTATCAACATAATATCAATGATTAGTAAAGAAGGCGAGACATTTCAGCGTGTGCACTCTTGTTATGGAAATTTATAATCTAGTTCAGAATGTTGAAAAAATTGACATGAACATGTTTTAACAGTTGGTTTAGTTATATAGTTTGATTCACAGCTAATATTTCTGTAGTAAAAAGACTGTGAATTAGACTTGCAACTTGGAAAATTAGTGATTATGGATTAAAAGTACATGAAAAAACAATTTAACTTTACAATCTTATATTCAACAAATATATTATTCAACTTAAAAACAGATGTAGGAACATCTGAAGCAATGTATATTATCTATAACACAGCAGATTCTTCGAGACAATTTTTAATCAACAAACCGATGGCAACAGATGTCCAATGACAATTATGTCACAAACTACAGATGTAAATTTGTAGTTCATTGGATAAAAAGCATCGATTTGTGGCTATTTTATATAGATGTGACTTCATTTTATGTACTTACGTTACAAAATTTGTAAAAACAAAATGGGAAATGTTGTAAGATCAGGAAGGATTATTAAGCATAAAAATCGCTATGATACCAGAAAAGGTAATTAGGTTTTATGACACACATAGCTAGAGTTTTCAGAAGTTCTTATAACATTTCTTTTAAAAAGCCTTAATTTTGTGGATAATGTTTCGGCAGTAAGATTTTTCAGGACAAATGTAGATGATTGAACACAGGAAATATCTTGAAGACACTGCTAATGTATCATTGGATGGTAGTAGTTTTACACAATTAGTCTGAACAGCAAATACAACACAATTTGAAATTTACCATAGATCTTCCATAGATATTCTGACAGCATCAGTTATAGTTACTGGACCATATACTTTTGTGAAAGGAACATTATCCAGATTGCATCATCAATGCATAATGTGACGAATTATTGAATAATTCAAAGCTAAATGCATGAAAAATATAATTTTAAAATGATTATTAGTTTAATTTTTCTTTTTTTCTTTTTCAGCACAAAGTACAAGAAATGGAGAGCTTGACTTCCATCCTACACCAGAGTTCCCTGCCTTACAGTATTTGGACAGTGTGGACCCAAGCAGCCGAGCAGACAGAGCAGGTTTAAAACCTGGTGATTTTATATTAGAGGTAATATATTAAACCAAATGTCCCTGTTAACATTCCTTACAGCAAATCAGGAGTTTCTCAATAAAGTCTACAAGTTATATTTTAAACATATAAGAGCAAAAGAACTAATCCTTAAAATAGACATCACTTGGAATAATCTTTGTTTGCAATTTCTAAATCTACGCTCCCTTTAAGCAAAACATTGGTAAGAGGGTTAAACGAATATTTATCTGAGAGATGAACTGATCTAAATATTATATAGATAATACATTGATATAAAAAAGAGGTCATTTGGGGAGATCTACTGAATTTTGATATTATTATTCAATACTTTAATGAAACTCTAGAAAATTATATACGTCACTTTAAAAATTTTACAAGTAAATACTATCAATGTGTTAAGTGAAAACGTTCACGGTTTTGTAGAAGAATTGATGTCACTGTTGTCTGAAAACTGAAACAATGTAAACCTATAGATAAATCACACATAGTGTATTTCACAAATTTTGAAATACCAATGTCATATCTAGTATTGATTAAACAGTTTGGTATTGATTTATCAGTATGTGAAGTGTTTGTTTTAAGGGTGTTCTTTATGTAGATATGATCCCCTACTGTCATTACAGAACATAGATCATGCATGTTTTGCTGTTTTAAAGAAAGAAATTGTTTCTTCAGATTTATTGGCAGTAATGACTAAAGAGTTTAGGTCCAGAGAAGGTCCACTTTGTCCAGAGTTTATTAGAGAGTTTTTATCTAGGTTTCCTTTGACATATTTTATGAGTTCTTACTTGAAAGAGAATTTAAGCAATTATATATAACCTGACACAAATTTTGGGTTGACCATTCAAATACTTTGGTCTAAATTGGCCAGTATATTTGGACATTGATTTTTCCATAGTAAATTTGTATTTTGTTGAACACTTAATATCAAACGTACCAGAAACTGAAACTAGTTTAGAGGCAACAAATACAACCTTATATTCGTAGTTCACCTAAACCAACAAAATCCATGAAAAAAATTAAAAGTTCCAGGAATAATAATGAATCCATATCGTTTCCATAGTGCAGTATGGCAGTAGTGTAATGTTGCTGTCACTCAAAATATAATTGGCAGTCATGATCAAATTAAAAGTTGTTGTATCAAATATTTGGTTAAAAACTGCAATGTACATTCCATAAGATCATTGGAGAAAATTAAGTGAATTCCAGTAGTTCATCATAGTTGTTGTAATTCAGATATGTAATGGTTTAAGTTAGAAAGTAAGAGTGGCTTTTCTTTAAGCTAACATCCTGAAGCTACCCCCAGAATGCTGATAAATTTGTCGAAAGAGTTTTAATTGGGAGAAATTTTCATTATCTAGGCCTTAACAATAGTGAAACTAACACGGAAATTCCTTACGGCTAGTGAAATTGGTTATTACTTGGGATTTTATCATAGTTAAGATTGTTTGAATTTATTTTATTGTCCCAATTGAAAAGATTTGACCTGAAATGAGAGGTCACATGTGTATAAAATATGTTCATGATGTGATCAGACTTGTCCTATAGGCATGATAACACAGTAAAAAAAAAAGTTTTATCTTACACCAATGTGAACACTTAGTGGTTAGGGGATGGAAAAAGAAATGGGTCCATTATACATTCTGTACTATAGTCTAATTGCACAGATCATAAAAAGTCTATAAATTTAAAACAGCCTGGTTATAAAAAAGCAAAAACATGATTTTGAATACTTTTGTTAAGAACAGAAGTACGGTAGGTTAAGCATCAAAAGGGTGTGGGTAAGAATTTTTCATGGGGGTTTTCAGTACTTAAAACATTTAAAGCCAATAAAGGTGTTATAATGTTACATTATTTTTTTTTTCTGATTTTTTACTTAATATAATTTCATAGTGTGCTATCAAATATTAACAGGAGGTAGATGGTGTTTTTAGGTGAGACATTAATACTACCGGTATATCAATGAAAATAATGTATGATTATAACTCCAAACAGAGTATAATATATGGTTATAACTCCAAACAGAGTATAATATATGGTTATAACTCCAAACAGAGTATAATATATGGTTATAACTCCAAACAGAAAATAATATATGGTTATAACTCCAAACAGAAAATAATGTATGGTTATAACTCCAAACAGAAAATAATGTATGATTATAACTCCAAACAGAATATAATGTATGGTTATAACTCCAAACAGAGTATAATATATGGTTATAACTCCAAACAGAGTATAATATATGGTTATAACTCCAAACAGAAAATAATATATGGTTATAACTCCAAACAGAAAATAATGTATGGTTATAACTCCAAACAGAAAATAATGTATGATTATAACTCCAAACAGAATATAATGTATGGTTATAACTCCAAACAGTGTATAATATATGGTTATAACTCCAAACAGAGTATAATATATGGTTATAACTCCAAACAGAAAATAATATATGGTTATAACTCCAAACAGAAAATAATATATGGTTATAACTCCAAACAGAAAATAATATATGGTTATAACTCCAAACAGAAAATAATGTAAGGTTATCAACTCCAAACAGAAATTAAAGTATGGTTTTACTCCTTTCTCTCAAAATTCAATAGAAAATTTGCCACTTTTGTTAAAATTTGGTTATTTATCAATATGAAACAGGATCTATTTTACAGGAAAACATAAGTTAATTTGTTTCCATTTTAGATAAATGGTGAAAATGTGGTTCGTGCATCACATGATCGAGTGGTACAGGTTATACGTAACTCTGGAGATACCCTGGCCATGAAAGTTGTAACTGTTAGACCTCAACAGAACCCAGTTAATTGGCAACATATGGATGGTACAATGACACTGCCATCAAGAACTACCAATAGTGCAAGTGGTAGTAAAAAACAAGGTCAGTAGCAGATATGTGTAAAATGTAAAGAAGACAAAATAAAGAGAATTTGGCAAACACATGACTGCTTTTATGAACAAGAACTTTTAAAATATAGTAATCATTAAGCAATAACAAAGAACAAAAATCCATTCAACAATTTTACAATTCTTTGTTCTTTTGGTTGGAAGAAGAAGTTATTATGTGTTTTATGTACTTTTAATTCAAGAAAAGAACATATTAAAGGAATAACACTTTTATGGATGTTCTTCATAGTAATGGTATTTATAAGGTCTTAAGTAATGAACTTGAATGCTTGCAACTTATAGAAAGATTAGGAAGGCCTTTACAAAGTAAACCAACTTATGATCTTGAAAATCTTTCAATGTGTCTTTAATCGCTTTTTTCCCCGGTATTAAAAATATTTGGCTAATTGAATTCCAAATTTTTGATCTGATGATTTGTTTTCATATTTTATATCTTTTTTGTTTCCAGCACCCCAGCCACCTCGAAGAGACCCAAGGACTTCACTTTCGAAAGAAAAGGGTCGACAGTTAGCAGAGGGACTAAATGAATTAGGTAAAAAAATTCAAAAGTCTTGATTTAAATTTTAGTCCTTATTGTGGGTGAGGAATTAAGTTCTTAATATTTATGATATTTTTAATTGTGACAAATTGTAGTAAATCTTAATGCACTCTGTCCTTTCCAATTATGATTTTTATTAGAATTTTTTGGGAATAGGCTAATTTTAAGAAATATTTTACTTCTATAATCATAGAGGTTTTGACTGCACTTTCATCCATATAGAGTAGGAATAAATACAGTGCTAGACTAGTTATTAACATTATAAGCATTATCAAACAGTTTCTTTTTCATATAAAATTTTACTCCTATGGTATAAGAGGTTACTTCTCTGATCACACATCCACATCCCTAACATAAATACATTCTTTTTGACAGGCAATGAGGAACAACGTAGAAATGACAATGTTATACGAGCCTCCGGTGAAGGTGCACATTTTTGTTATTGATATTGTCAAAGTAGCTTTGTTTTGCTTTTGCCTCACATAGCTACAAAATTATTTTGATGCACTGTTGAATGTTTTTACATGTTGGCTTTTGCCTATGTTTTCCCTTTATTTTGTTGTATTTGTTCATGTTCATGTTTCCTTTTTTTCTCTGATCACAAATATTAATGCCCGCTTCAGTAAGAGCTTCACAGATCAAGATACTAATACTGATTAAACTGCAATGACCAATACAATTTCTGTTGTGACTTATGAATTTATGGAGAAAAACATATGAGTTTAATAGATTAAAAAAAAATATAAAGACAGACAAGATACATGTTTCATATTCCTTTTTACAGTAAATGTTATTAAAGATACATCATATTGCTTATTAAATGACAACATTAAGGAAATTATATTGACATACTGTAAACATTTATTGGATCCAATATTTCTTTTATTAAATCAGATAAATGAAATTATTACAAATAAAAAGGAACACACAAGAACACATTTAATGTTAGGCCACAACAAAATGATTTTTTAGGGTTATATTTAGATATTACTCACATTCATTATGTTTTTTGTTGTTCCTTTAGTGTTTTCTGCACTTTTTTTTATTTTTACAAAAATAAACAAAATAATAAAATAAGTGAATTGCATCTCTCAAATAAAATTCCTAATTTTGGCAAATATTTTGCGTGTTATTAAGTTATTTTATATGTTATAATTAATGCTTATGATTTCTTAAATATTATAATTGGTCTTTAGTATTGCAAAAATGTAGATGTAACTGGTATTTTATTTCATTAGTGAAATTCTAAAAAGTGTGCATAATGCAATAGTGAAATTCTAAAAAAATGTGTGCATAATTATTGGTAGCAGACTTTTAATCAATAAAACACCAATATTTTTCCCCATATGATTAAGCTGTAAGCTATACACATGTTCTTGCTTCCCCCCCCTCCCCCCCCCCCCCCCCCAATATTTTGATCAATTGTTTCAAATTTTATATTCATTTGTCCATTTACAGTTTAAGTGTCTCAACTTTCCTGACAGGTAGCAGTGGGGATAAGGCTCTTGCTTACAAAGCAGAAACTAATGCAACTGTTTATTATTTGATAAGTAATAACAACTTAACTTAGCTTAAATTTCAAGAACACAACATGACATCATTTTCCCTTAAGTTTAACTGTTGTATTCCTGTCTTCACACATAAGTAGAGATGATGGAAACTGTTTAATGTTGTGAATGGTTTTGTTTCGGCTCAGTATAGCCTTGTTCTGTGTAACAAATTATTTTACTCTTGCTTTAGTACAAAAATTTAGATATTTCTACGTCTTTTTATACGACCGCAAAAAAATTTTTGTGGTCGTATATTGGTATGACATTGGCGTCGTCGTCGTCTGGCGTCGTCCGGCGTCGTCCGAAGACACATTGGTTTTCGCACTCTAACTTTAGTTTAAGTGAATGGATCTCTATGAAATTTTACCACAAGGTTCAATACCACAAAAGGAAGGTTGGGATTGATTTTGGGGGTTATGGTACCAACAGTAAAGGAATTAGGGGCCAAAAATAAGCACTTTTGTAACTTCCAGACATAACTTGTGTGTTAGTGTATGGATCTCTCTGACATTGTACCACAAGGTTCCATATCACAAAAGGAATGCTGGGATTGATTTTGGGGGTAATTGCCTCAAAATTTTAGGAATTAGGGGCCAAAAAAGGGGCAAAAAACAAGCATTTTTCTAGTTTCATGACAATAACTTGTGTGTAAGTGTATGGATCTTTCTGAAATTGTACTGCAAGGTACCATACCACAAAGGGAAGGCTGGGATTGATGATAGGGGTAATTGCCTCAATATTTTAGGAATTAGGGGCCAAAAAGGGGCAAAAAACAAGCATTTTTCTAGTTTCAGGACAATAACTTGTGTGTAAGTGTATGGATCTTTCTGAAATTGTACTACAAGGTTCCATATCACAAAGGGAAAGCTGGGTTTGAGTTTGGGGGTAATTGCCCTAAACGTTTAGGAATTTGGGGCCAAAAAGGGGCCAAAAAACACATTTTTCTAGTTTCCAGACAATAACTTGTGTTCAAGTGTATGGATCTCTCTGAAATTGTACTGCAAGGTACCATACCACAAAGGGAAGGCTGGGATTGAGTTTGGGGGTGATGAATCATAAGGGGGTTAAAAAAATTGGGGGGGGGGGGATTTTTTTCTTTTAAAATTTTCCATTTTAAGTTGGTTATTTCTGATTTATATTTAAAAGCAAATAATAATATATGGTAGGAGATACACACTAAACAGGATGTGTAAATTATTATATAATAAGTATTGTGCAATAGCAATAAATTTTTAAATTGCACAGTATTGCACAATAGCAAGAAATCTTCAATTGCACAGTATTGCGCAATAGCAAGAAATCTTCAATTGCACAGTATTGCGCAATAGCAAGAAATATCCAATAGCACAATATTGCGCAATAGCAAGAAATTGTCAATTGTACAGTATTGCGCAATAGCAAGAAATATTTAATTGCACAGTATTGTGCAAAAGAAGATACTTCGTATAAATTGCTTATTTCTTGACCAATTTCAATGGGGTTTTATTCTTGAATTCTTGGGGTTCTTTAATATGCTGAATCTAACCGTGTATTTAGTTTTTGGATTTTGGGCCCCGTTTTTAAATTGGTCCACATTGAGGTCCAAAGGGTCCAAAATTAAACTTTGTTTGATTTCATCAAAAATTGAATTATTGGGGTTCTTTGATATGCCGAATCTAACCGTGTATTTAGATTCTTAATTTTTGGTTCCGTTTTCAAATTGGTCTACATTAAGGTCCAAAGGGTCCAAAATTAAACTTAGTTTGATTTTAACAAAAATTGAATTCTTAGGGTTCTTTGATATGCTGAATCTAAACATGTATTTAGATTTTTGATTTTTGATTCAGTTTTCAAGTTGGTCCAAATCGGGGTCCAAAATTAAACATTGTTTGATTTCAACCAAAATTGAATATATGGGGTTCTTTGATATGCTGAATCTAACCATGTATTTAGATTTTTGATTTTTGGGCCCCGTTATCAACTTTGTCCACATTGAGGTCAAAAGGGTCCAAAATTAAACTTTGTTTGATTTCATCAAAAATTGAATTCTTGGGGTTCTTTGATATGCTGAATCTAACCATGTATTTAGATTTTGGATATTGGACCATAATAGGTGAATGTCCAATTTAAAATTTTTAAGTTCTTAGACCACATTCATTCTGTGTCAGAAACCTATGCTGTGTCAAATATTTAATCACAATCCAAATGCAAAGCTGTATCAAGCTTGAATGTTGTGTCCATACTTGCCCCAACTGTTCAGGGTTCGACCTCTGCGGTCGTATCAAGCTGCACCCTGCGGAGCATTTTATTCCATTTTAACTGAAGAATTTGGGGCAGAAATTACCATTTTATGAATGTTTACATTTATACCAATTTTTACGAATAAAATCATTTTTCAAAAATACTTAAACATTTTAAGTCTTAAACAAACTTTAACAATGTGTCCTGTAAAGTTTATCAAAAACATTTTTGGACCTTTTCGCATGGAGTTGCTCATATATTCCAAATGTAGTTAAAATTCTATGTTATGAAATCAGTTTAAAGTTTTTTTCTTCCTTAAACATCAAATTTTTGTTTAATAGCTATAGCACACAGACTTATATGTACCAGGTATAAACCAAGGACAAACTTCTGTTTAATGATTTTAATGTTAATACTACATAATTATTGATTAATTAATATTATATGCCCATCTGTGCATGTAACAGTTGTTTACATGAAAACAAATAAGCATGTGCAATAGGGTAAAAAAAATTCGACTAAAAAAACTAACTTGAACAGTAAAGTAAAATATTGTAATTGTTTAGAGAACTATACTTTCAATAAATTTATTGTCTTTCTGACTTAAGGCCAACAGAATAAATATAAAATTCTAAAGCCAGTTTAGAAATGATTTTGATTGCAAACAAATGTTCTTTTAACTTTTAGTCCTACATGTAGTCTGTGATATTTGAATTAGAAAATGTTGTTTGTCAGATGCTCTGAGTCATATTAAAAGATTTAAAGCATTTATGTTGCATGTTTAAAACAGAAAGAGGAGGCAGGTGCATGAGAAATATTAAACATTTATTTTTATGCCCCACCTAGGGGCATTATGTTTTTTCGGTCTGTGCGTCCGTTCGTCTGTCCCTCCGTCTGTCCCTCCGTCTGTCCCACTTCAGGTTAAAGTTTTTTGTCAAGGTAGTTTTTGATGAAGTTGAAGTCCAATCAACTTGAAACTTAGTACACATGTTCCCTATGATATGATCTTTCTAATTTTAATGCCAAATTAGAGTTTTGACCCAAATTTCAAGGTCTACTGAACAAAGAAAATGATAGTGCGAGTGGGGCATCCGTGTACTATGGACACATTCTTGTTCTTATCTAAACCAGTTCGTTTATGTTTCACCTCCCACCTTAAATTCTAAAATTTAGAATCTGCAAATATTATTTTATCAAATATTTAATGAAATGTTATTACCGTTACATATAACTCAAGGCAGTTCTGTAACTGCTCATCAGGCCTGACCATTCTTTTTCCTCATGTGTCAAGCTTCCAAGAAAGTTAACTTGGCCTTAAAGATGGTTAATACAATGTTATATTGTACATGTAATTCATTATAACATAAAAATTTGTACATTTAAAACATTTCAATAACGATATCGTTCTTTTTATTTCCAGATCAGCTAGATTTAGCCTTGGCCGAATTTGAAAGAGAAAACTTAGAACAACATAATGTAACAACTGAACAGAAAACAGCATCTATCAGAGCAAAACATGCATCAAAACGTGTGTCATGTGTGGATTTATCAAACATTGAAGGATATGATTCAGAAAAAAGTGACCATAGAAGTCCGTCAGAAAGAATAATACATAAATATAATAATGAACGCAAACAGAGTGCTATGGAAAGATCACAAAGTACGCCTGATCTATCTGACAAAAAGCCAGAGCCTGTATATGCAACACCTGTAGTACCAGGTTCTGCAGGCGTTCAACGTAGAAATGACGGAACTTATGTATATGCTGTTCCGGAAGACAGTCTTTCAATGAAAAGTTCAACATCAACTTCAGAAAGACCAAAGGGTCCTCCTCCACCACCACCCGGGGCACTTGGGTTTAAAAGACCTGCTCCAGGTGTGCCGAAAGATGAAGAAGTTGTTCAGCCATCAAACACTGAAGTGGTGTCTATAAACACAATAGGAAGTAGGACTTCATTGTATGCTAGACCAGAAAAGCTTTCCACAGCTCCTCAAGATGATTTTGAATCTAGTTTTCGACCTGGTGCTTCAGCTAAAATGACTGATGAACCTAAAGTTAAATCAAAGGCTCATCAAAGAAATTCTAGTCTTACTTCCACAAACTCTGGAGGAAGTCGTCAGAGTGATGACAAACACAGTGTTTCTTTTGCCGAGGATAAAGTATTAGACAATGCTAAAACATATCTTCAAAAACATCCAAATGCAAAATTGCTTGTAACAGCAGACGTACATTCTAATGTTAAGAAACAGACTGGCAAATATGAGCCTGAACCTGATTATGACTTGGAGGATGACAAGGTCAAAAGTAGAGTTACTGTAATTTCCATTGGTGATAGAAAAACAACTGATTCAGAAGCGAAAAGATATTCTGTTCGTTCAGACATTCCAGCTGGTAACATTCCACCTCCGCCTTCTGAACCAGCTCCAAATCCACCAACAAAGACCTTAGCACCAGGTCAGCAAATTGCAAAGTCTTCAGCTCCTCAGCCAGCTAAAGCAGCAGCTCCTCAGCCCTCTACAGTAAAATCTGCTGCTCCTAAACCTCCTTCACCAAAATCTAAAACACCATCTCCAAAGGTGGAGCAGAAGATAGTTACCCAAAAGAAGGAGGAAGTGAAAATTGAGAATATTCCATCTGCTCCAGCAGTGCCTCCAATGCCACCAGCAGCACCTCCACCGCCACCTGCTCCACCACTGCCACCAGCTGAGCCGCCTGCTCCTCCCCTTCCAAAATCTCAACCTCCTGCTCAAACCAAACAAAGTAATACCACACCTCAAGGTATTGAGGCTAATGATCTATTAGCAGCTGTTCGAAAACGACAACAAAGGATGGATGTAGAAGGACCAAAAATTTCGGCCTTGCCTGAGAGTAAGGATGGACCTCAAAAAGATGACAATCAAGCAGCTATTATAGCAGCTGTTGCTAGGCGACGAAGAATGCTTGAAGAAAAAGGAGACACGTCGGTTATTGATGCAATAGAAACAAAGCTACAAAAAACCAAGAAATTACAGTCTGCAAAATTAGCGTTCTCAAGTGATAATATTGGGAAAACTCCAGAAATGAAACCAAAAGTGGCAAAACCAGTTGAGCCTAAAGCTATTGTAAATGATGTTAAATCATCAATGGAAAGACAGCCTCCTAAGGTTGATATAAAACCTATTAAAAGTGTCACAGTGAAAGGAAAGGAGCCAACTAAAATTATGAGTACAGTAAATGGTGGTGCTGTAAAAACACCAGTAAAAATGGAGGTTAAAGCAGACACCAAAACAACAGACTCTAATAAGGCAATTATTACAAGCACACCAAAAACTGAAAATAAGGAGAATTCTGTCAGTTCACCACGTGGGAAAGACTATGTAGCTTTAGCTGAAAAGGCTCGCCAAGAGTACTTGCAGAAAAAAGCAAGTCAGACTTCACTTCGTGTTACTGCAACAAACAATTCACCAAATACTGTCAGTAAACCTGCAGACAGGTCAAAGTCTCCAGCAAAAACCATACCAACTTCACCATTGATAGCTCAAAGTACAACAAATTCTTCAAAAGTACCTATTAGAGATCAAAATAAAAACATTATAACTACGGGTGTTCAAAGTGACAGGACCAAAGTGTTTAGTTCTGTAAGTCAAATACCAAATGGTAATGTGAAAAACATGTCATCCAAAAATAAGGACAATGGTGTTTCATCCTTAAAACCCGCTAAGGATATAGGTGTGATCAGTCAAAATAAAACTTCTATTAAAGACAGGATAGCCAGCATAAATAAGGCTGAACAATCCAAAGGAAATGTGAATGGTAAAGTTCCAAATGAAAAATTGAGTGTGAAAGGAGTAACTGTGGAAAGCTCAGGAACGGACAAATCTTCCTTGCCGCCACCTCCTGAATTTGGAGATTCTGTGCAACTAGAAATAATTCCTCCACCAATGGGATTTGATAGTGGAAGTAACTTTAGTGATATATCAAGACAAAGTTCTGTATTTAATCAGGATGACAATGAAAGTTTAGTTTCTTCAGTGTCAACTGTTTCTACATTATCTGATGATCAAGCCGATTCTGGATATGGTCGTCAGCGGCATAACTATGAGGAATTGATAGCCCCTCCACCCCCTGGGTTTGGGGATTCAAACTCAAATCAGGGCTATGAAACAATTCCATCTGTCATTCCACCTCCCCCAAGCTTTGGGGAGGAAAAACGTGATTTAATGAACAAATCCAGGCAAGTGACAAAACCTTTCAGTTCCAAGTCTGTTGATAACTGGCAATGTTTGGACGTACTTGATTGGTTAGACAGTTTAAAATTATCGCAATATAAGACAAGCTTTCAACAAAAGTGCATTGACGGTAAAAGATTGCAAAATCTTAGTAGGAATGATTATTTGGACTTGGGAGTAACGCAAGTTGGTCATCGTATGAACTTAGAACGATCAATTAAGAAATTGAATTTACCTAAAAATGTTGTCTCATCTAGTCATTTGTGATTTAATAGTTTCATCCAGAATCATTCATTTGTACAATAGTTTACATATTTGGAAATTTTCAGAGCACAATAACTTTGAATTTTAATGAGTGCTAAAATATTTATCTGTAAAACTTATCATATGTTACAACGAAAAAATCTGTCACCATGGAAACAGCATGGTAAAAATTAACTGAAAACAATTTTTGCCTAGAATTGCCTGTAATCAAATTTTCTTTCTCATCTTGAGCACATTTACTGTTTCAGGTTTTTAAGAATTCTCATTTAAAAATTTCTGTTGATTTACCAACATGTGACATCGGCTTAGAACAGAAAAAAAAATCTATATATATCTACATAATAATAACATTAAGCAGTTTTCATGAATGAGAAGTTGAAAAAATACTTGAATGAACCATTTAAGAAGGTAGGAATCTGGTGTGAGGAAGGTTGTGATGTAAAACAACATCAGTAGTTGAAAAAATCTGTGATTATTAATTTAGAATTGAATAGTCTTCCATAAGGATGTTATGATACTTTTTAAAGCATATATTTTTTTTCATTTTGAGTAATTAAATGTGTGCCAATTTAAATGACAAGTCTGGCCACTCTGGGCAATTTTATTTTTCTCATTTGTTTTATTTTAAACAGTTTTAATGTTAATTGACCATATGTATACATGTTCTCCCTTTTCATTTTAAAGAAAAAAACTAGTCTTAATATTAAAATTTTCTAATGAATATTAGATAGTTGGTAATATATTTCAATGTCCATCCTGAATTTGTTTTTTTTATCAGATGAGTGCTTTCTGTATTTGATTTTACTGGTATTTATTTATTTTGTAAATTATTATTTTTGGAGAAGCATTCTGATTTTTATCAACACAGCCATATCTTTTCACAATATCATGTTTTTTAGTTTAAAACATATATTTTTATGTTTCTCAGTAAGTATGTTGTTTAATTTTGTTTCCCAAGAACAGTCATATTCTATTTAAATCTGGGTAAATTTGTAATTTTGTTACTGAAAATCTCAAAATTTCAACAGGATGGCCTAACATATGACGAAATATATATAGTGCTCATCATTAGATTAATATTTTCATTTAATCAGTATTTTTCTTTAAGCTTACCTCAAACATGGGAATACTCATATTTCAAGAAATTTTATTGATCATAATATTATTGGACAAAATCCTTCTGTACGAGGGGAGATAACTCCATTTTCATTGTTAGCTAGATAGCATTATTTTGAATTAGGGAAGAATAAAGATGTTTTACTAGCATTAGGATAATAAATTAAACTAGTCTTGCAAGGTTCATAATAAAACTGGATTTTTAATTGACCCTTCAACTCTTTATATTTTGATTTTAGACACAATGTCTAGGAAAAAGCATTATTTGTTATACTTTTAAGAGGAGGTATTCCCCGTTTTGTTTGCAGGTTTTAGTTTTTTTCCTGTGATACATTTTTTCATATCATTAGTTCATACTGGACAGTGTACAGTATGCTGGGCATCATTTTGTACCAATATCGCTTCACCATGCATTAGCAGTCCAAATATAGTATGATTTGTAATTTTAACTTATTCAGTGATGTATGTACTGGTTTATGTACAGTGCTTTATGTAAAAATTAATAAAAACATTTTATATTTATGAAATTCAAATTATCAGCATCAGTCAAGACTAGTGCATGTATTGTTATATAGAAAGTCATCAACATATAAAAGTAATCATTTCATAGATTTTCCATAGGCATTTCCATACTTCAGTAATCTCAATACTAGAATAAGAGGATTTTCAGATAAAAATTAATATTTTCAAAAGATATCAAATGAAACATTAAAAAAAGAATTTTGGCAATTTTTATTTTGAAATTTCAAAATCTTGATTTGATATATTAATATTGATCTATTTCCTTGAAAATTGTCATATTGTTCAAGCAAGCAAATCTCTCCATTTTTATGAAAAAAAATATTTTCAGGATTATTTATTTTAATACGCCATGTCAATAAAGAACATTACATCAATTTAAAACAGTACATTACATAAAGACTTGCATTCTTTATGCTAAATGTGACTAAAACATTCTCATTTTCATAGCTAACTAGAGTGCAAATTATGTACCAACATATATATTTGGATTTAAAAAATGTTTACTACTTGAAACTTATTATTATTGTTTTTGTTATAACTAATTGATTATTGTATTCAAAGATGATAAAAAATATATTTAATTATACATTATGTGTCTCATGTATGGCCCTTAGTTAATAGCATTGTGGAGACTAAAATGGACTCTTTGAGGCTTCAACTTGTAAATACAATTGGTTCACAAACCAATTCCTTTGGTAGGAACTAAATAGTAATACAATATTTGTTTTGTTCATCTACTAGTTCTAAGATATGATCTCCACATCTCATAGGCACGCAACTTTGGAATTTTCCCACAACATAGTCCGACAAGGGTTAAATAAACACACAGGAAGAACAACAAAAATGGAAGGATGGAACAAACTTTTAGCATAATAAATCCAAAGAAATAATGACATATACCTATAATTCTATATTTTGACTTTTTGCAAAAAAAAAGCTGTTTATTTGACTTTTTCAATCCAGTATGGGATTCTCTTAAAAATTCATAGTGAAAAGTGCTACAGTTTATTTTGTAAAAGGAGTTACTATAGGGGAAAAGAGACTAGAGATACCAAGGGGACAATCAAAACTTATAAGTCTAGAGAAACTGACAACACCAAAACAAAAGACGAAAGTCAATCATAATACAAATAAGTAAACAATATACTACCTAAAAAACTAAAGACTAATCAACATGAACGCCACCTAAAACTTGGGGTGATCTCAGGTGCTCTGTAAATGTAAGCAGACCCTGTTCCACTAGTAGCACCCATTGTGTTGTTGCATTGTTTATTTTACACAATCATAACCATTAAAGTAAGGTACACTGCATACTTGATTTAAAATAGACTACTGAACATTCAGTATCTTGTATTAACACTTGTACATACTATATGACTGATTGAGTTGTTTTGTCTTGCCTGCAACAAATGTTATGAAGAGAGACAAGGTATAACAAATCTGGCATCATGGTCATCAACATCTATTTCACACAATCATAACAATGAAGGTACACTGCATTTAAAGTTACTGCTGAAAATTCATAATCTGGTTATTACCACTGCCTACTATAAGACCGAATATTAGACTGAATGAGTTGTTTTGCATTGCTGCAACAAATGTTATGAAGTGAGATGAAGGTGTTACATTTCTGACATGCTGTTCATTGCTATGTTTTCTTAAAAAAAGGAAATTTTGTCTCACTTCTAAAAAATATTGCAATGCAAGATATAGTTGTTACTTTCTGCAGTGTTGTTATTATCAATGGTATTCTTAAACTTTTAATAGAATTAAGTGTTTTATTACTAATCATATAGGTCTAATTCAGAATAAGTAGTTAAAGTACTTATGATATATTGATCATAGTTTTTATTTCCATCCATATGATGCATCCCAAATATGTGCAGCAGGCACTGATCAAGCCAGTTTTAAAAGGGGGTTCCAACCATATGTCCCTATACAAAAGCATTAGTAGTCAAACAAAAAGGGAGGTTCCAACCAAAAGAACACCCCCCTGGATTCACCACTGTGCAGTATATGACAGTGCCACAGTCTTGTGTTTATGAAAAAGTTCTTATACTAGGCAGTATATATTTGGTATGCTATTATAATTTATGCATTTAAAAAAGAGACAAAATATACATAAGGGACATTCGTTAAGTCAAAGAGAAACTGACAAAACAAAAAACAAGGAAAAGACTAACAGCAGTTTACAAAACACTACATAGAAAAAATTATGGTATGGGTTTTGCTCATTGTTGAAGGCTGAAAAGTAACCTATAGTTGTAAACAGCTATGTCATTTGGTCTCTGGTGGAGAGTTTGAGCTTTGCTTATTGTTGAAGGTGTATGGTGACTTATAGTTGTAAATATCTACGTCATTTGGTCCCTGGTGGAGAGTTGTCTCATTGTCAATCATACCACATCTTCATATTTTTATATGAGCAACACAAAACAGTCAAGGAGTTTTTAAATGTGAGGTTTTCAGTGTATGTTTAGTGAGACTTGATATATATTGTTACATTCATGCAACTTACTTAGAAGCAGGAAAATTATGTTTCCACCATTTTGTCATAATTATAGGACTAATCTCAACATGTATAGCTAACTTATTGTTAGTGTTTCTCTCCACCTGTACACCTTATTGCTATTTGTCTGCCATTACTGGACATCACAAAGGTTCCCGCAAAATTTTAATGTCATAATAGCAAATGTCTGACACCACAAAGGAAAAGTGATTGGGGTATGATGTCAATAGTTCAAGTGTCACAGATTCTGAGGTCAAGTGCCACATTCCTCAATAGTAATAAGGTCTATTGCAGATCATTGTACATTCTGATACATATTGCAATTTGTTACATCAAAAGAAACTACAACTGGTCAAGTTTTACCTAAATGCTGAGCCACAGTCAAGTCATCAGTGTTAGAAGTGCAAGGGCAAAAAGAAAACATACTTCCAATCTCGTTAGATTTGTTTTCCATAATTTATTCACTACATTTCAATTGTAAAGTCTTATGAATTGAAAGGTAGTCATTTTTTAATTGCTATAAAACTAAAATTAAAGCTGCAATATTATTTCTTTTAGAATGTTTGCTATTTTTATCAGAAATAGACAGCAATTTGACATTAACATGTTAAAATATGTTTAATTACAATATATGGTCAATGATAAAAGAGATAGTGATTGAACTAGCTCTAATTGGAGCATTATAAAAACATGTTAAGCTAAAAGTACATTTTGCTGAATCTTTGTGAAAAGTTGAAGTACATCAAACCCAAAATATTGTTTTTTCTTCAAAATACATAAGGAATTAAAAAGAAAAGCAATTTTATTTTGGATATTTGGTTATCTCCCTTTGAAACTTCATGAACAAATATTTTAGCTAATCATTTTTCACTCTGTATTTTACGTTGAAGGTTAAGACAAAATACTTATGATAAAGGATAATTTAAAAATTTTGATTTTAAAGTTTTATAACAAATCCAAAATTGTTACCTTACCTTTCATATGACTGACAACATATTTAATTCAGCTTTACAATGACAATGACAAATTTGTGGCTAGTCAATATTGTAACCCTTTTAGTTGGTGAAACTAAGTGTCATCATGACCTATAATTGATGGCTGAGTGACTCTTTAAAGTGCAAACAATACTGAAAGTTTTGGGGTCTTGTCATGAAATCAAGTCAGTATTTGAAAATAAGGAGTATGATTGCCAATGAGACAACTATCCACCAAAGTTCAAATGACATGGATGTAAGCAATTTTAGGTAACTGTACGGCCTTCAACATGAGAAAAACCCATACCTTATAGTCAGTCAGCTATAAAAGGCCAGACATAAAAAATATGAAAAATTGAGAAAACTGAACTACAGGCTCCTTACTTGGGACATGCACATAAAGAATGTGGTGGGGTTAAACATGTTTGTGAGCGCTCAACCCTCCCCTTACCTGGGACAGTGGTGAAACAGCACAACATAAGAACAAACTATAAAAATCAGTATGCTACAGTAAAAGAATCAAAATTCGTTATTTCATAGAAAAGGGTCCATTTACAATTTATAAAATAAAACGAATCACAAAGATGATGACATAGTAACAAGACAAAAGCAAAATTTAGAGATCTTGATACAATCTTCAACAGCTGTCTATATAATGGCAATCTCTAAATCATTAATGCGAATATTAGAGCAAGACATTTTGAATTATTTCAAAACAAGGAATTATTTCAATCTGGAATAATTTTAAATTCAGGAACAGTATTTAGAAATGTATGATGAAAACTAACCCAACTAAATAGGGTTAGCCATGTGTGCATATGGCTAAGATTAATGTTAGTTTCACTGATATTTCAGTATGAACTTATTAACCCCCCTTAGCCATATTTAGTTGGGTTAGTTTGCAAAATACATTTCTCATCAATTTTCCAGAATTCAAAATCATTCCAGATTCAAATAATTCCTTGTTTCAACTATAGCTCAAATATAGCAGAGGCACTGAAATAAAGCTCCTTTTTGAAACACCTACCTGAATACATTTCAGTTTTCTATATGAAAATAAAGAGATGTAGTATGATTGCATATGAGACAACTATCCATTAGAGTTCAAATGACATGATGGTAGGCAATTAAAGGTCACAGTATGGCCTTCAACAATGAGATAAACCTATACTGTATATTAGCCCTACATGAAAAATGTGAAATAATTCAAAAGAGAAAACTAACAGCCTAATTTATGATTTATAACCATGCAAAATACAAAAAAAAAAATATGACATCCATAAACCAAAGATAAAGACTAAATTGTAGGCCCCTGACTTGGGACAGGCACACAAAGAATGTGGCAGAGTTAAACAATGGTTATTCCTTGTCAGAGGATGGTTGTAAAAAGGAATTTACACCAAAACTGAAATAAATAGTATGATTAAAATTGTATCTTCAAATGATGACATATTAAAGATACTATAAAAAGCACATATCCAAGACTGCAGTGGACATGACAGTCACAGAGAACATTGATCAATTTTTAGAGTCTTAATCTTTAATTTTTACTTCATACTGTGTATTTTCATGGAGGAAAATAGGATTCTTGTTTGTAAGAATCATATGTATTAAAAATACATAAGCTGATTCTTAGGCACATATAAAAAATCTTCTTTAATTTTTATTAAAAAAAACTATATGTACATAAACTAGGCCGTTAGTTTTCTCGTTTGAATTGTTTTACATTTGTCATTTCGGGACCTTTTATAGCTGACTATGCGGTATGGGCTTTGCTCATTGTTGAAGGCCGTACAGTGACCTATAGTTGTTAATTTCTGTGTCATTTAGTCTATTGTGGAGAGTTGTCTCATTGGCAATCATACCACATCTTCTTTTTATATACAGGATTTTTTGTCTGTCGTAATCAAAAACAGACTTATAAGGAATCTATTTATTTTTTTCCAACAAGTAATTTGTAAAACTATATCATGTGTATATGAAATAAATGTAAAAACTTAATAAAATAAGGAAATTTATTTTGTCTTAACAGTTATTTGAAGCTATTGCAGTTGAATTAATTTATTTTTTATCTGAAAACCACCTATAATATATTAAGTTTTGATATAC